TAAAAATTATACAATTATATTATTCCTAATATAATTAATTCCAATCCTTTGGTAGACGTTTTTCGCATCAACTCAATAAATTAAATTTAGTATCTTATGTTTATATCACATATGTATATCTCATTTGAAGATGATTTTTATATAAGTTTTGCTGGTGGGCAGTAAAATATAGTTATTAAGCTTAGTAAGTCTATGATCTTAAAGATAAGTTAATATGATACCAAATTTGATTGTAATCCATGTACCCGAACTTATATGTACGAACGATGTTATTAAACAGTAAATTTGACACAAACAGAATTCGCTTCGAAACTTAGTGTCAAAAATATGAAAATCTATTAAAAAGGTTTAAATATTCGTTCAGCATATATACCTACAGTATGACGGTATCAAATTACATTCCACTGACATAATGCGAAAATAATACCTGCCATTAAATATCTTCAAGGCTGTCTCTTAGAAGGCACAAGTAATGTACTAAAATTTACGGGAATTTTTTTGGAGAACAAATTGCATGTGTGCTGCCAGCAACAGCTCACGAATGACATGCCATATTTGACATGCGACAGTTAAAAAATTTTCCATACTCGCGTTTTTTGTTTTTTTACCTAGATATCACATATTAATGAATAAAAATGTCTCCAACAACAAAAAGGTAGAAATTTCAGCGAAAATAAAGCTGCAATAAACATAGTAGGGAAAGACATAAAATATGCCAAATGCGCTGGCAGTTTTCGCAGCAACGAAAATATGAAGACTTTGCGCATATGAGTAACTGTAACTTTGTCCTACAGTTATGCACAATAATTATTTGTTTGTTCAATAAAAGAAACGCAAACGTAAAAATGAATCAAAAGCTCATTTTCATGTGTGTGGCGGGTAGAAAAAACAACAACTGCAAAGAGAAATAGTAATATGGAGCGACAATAAACAAAAGACACAAAATCACTTGTATGCATACTTTCAGGCGCTAAAACAAACTTAAGCTTATAGTGAAACAAAATACAGTCGCATGTGCGCATTAAGTTGCACGAACGAAAGAAAATTCGAAGGAACGAGAATGTCACACTGCGCTGCTGTTACTCCTTACTCACACACACACAGCCAAACAAACTTATAACAGGCACATAAGCATTTTTCTACAAACTTTTTCACATACACACATTTTTTGAGTTATTAAAAGTTTCTGACCTTATTTGGCAGGTGTACACATGTGTTTTACCGCTTACACACAAACATACATAGCTTACATATATATATATATTTATATATTTGATATAACTGCAAAGAAATTTATATAAAGCAGCTTATAGAAATAACAGTTAAGCGGAAAGGAAAGTAGAAATTTTGTTAAAGAAAATTATACGTTTGCGTGCAGTTAAAAGTACACACACTTATACACATATACAAGTATGTATGAATCTGAAATTCTGACAATGGATCAGTCGCTTTTTGGCAGGGCTGGTGTGTAAATGTATTTCAGTACTGCCATACTTGTATATGTCATTCTTATGACAATAGCAGTTGACAAAAGCAATCTTATAAAAATATGACAAATATGCTCACATTACTCGGATGATGAAACAAACTACAGTAACTGCAACTCCAACCACAGCTATTGCCACTACCAACCTTTTCAGAATGGAAACCCAAACATTATCAGACAAATAGAGGCAGCTACGACTGGAATATTTCAAGAGACATTTTTTCTTAGCAGACATGGCAACCGATAAATCGGCAACGACACAAGTTTCTGTGCGGAACGAAAATTGGTTATAAATATAACAGTTAATTTTATGCTATGGAAAATTCCTGAATATATAAAGTGGGCGAAATCTTTTGACACCATAGTAATTGACGTAAAATGGGTTTACCAATGACGGTCACATTATCGGAGGACAACCGTATACCACTCTTGGCAATCTCGTCTACTAACTCATTGCCATCGATGTCTTTATGACCTGCAACTAGAGCTGAAAAACTACCGATAGTCAAACCAATCGATAACCTCGATAGTTTAAAAAAATACTATCGATAAAATCGATAATTTTCCCCCTTGAAATCAACTTACTTTTCGCTGGTGCAAATTCAGAGGCCTTGGCTTCATACACTTCATTTTTATGAAATAATCCTTGGATTTATTAATATAAAACAAGACACGAACAATAACGATAAACACAAAATAATTAATAAAGTTACAATTTTTGATCTTACTATATGAACTGCTCTAAGAGTTGACGTGTTATAAAAAGGTAGATTTGGTATACACTAATGTGTGATCAAAAAAATTTATTCTTCAAATACGTTTTGGTAAAGTTTTTTATTTCTTAATAATTCACTTGCTTTCGTTTAAAAATAGTAATTTGTTGACGTTTTTAGTCTTTAGCGCTGTTCTTCTATCAGATATTAGCAATCCAGCCTAGCTTTATATTCTCTCCGACCCTGCAAAATTCAAATTAATTAACGTGATATTCATTTATACGCACTACGCATACATACTAATGCCACAGAATGTCTAACAACGCAATCAGAGATTTCTGTTAAAGTTTCTCTGAGTTTATTAAGGCCCAATTGACAATTATAACCAAAAATATTGTGTACGTGTAATTGTTCATCCCTTTCTTACGCATTGGGCTTATGAGCTACACGGTGTGTATGAGTTAGTTTCCACGTTATTTCCTTCAATCCATTAGAGTTTCCGTAACCGTAGTCTACATTTGTTATTACCAGACTATAATTACGTAGTCTTATTATGGAAAATTTTTCAATGTTATGTAAGTTGCTGGCAAGCCTCGTTAAAGCATAAACCATCGGTAGCTATAATATACTCTCGATAGTGAGACGAAACTAAATCTATCGACTTTCTTGCAGTGAAGCCGTATTTTCCTGCGGACACTCTCCACTTCTGCCTTACTTCCCAAGATACTTTTGGCCGATATGCGATACAACTTACTGCTTTTATTGCTGGTGAGCTGACTATGAAGATACTAACTCTGGAGTTGCCTGCTGATGCATCAGAGGATAACTCCTTGGCTTTCCCAATGGCAAAGGTAACTGCTTGAAATGAGCTGCATTGGTCCAGGATGCTTAAACGACTGCCTTTTGACTAACTCTGGACAGTATATCTCTGCACCGACTCCGTCTTTTATTTCTGTGCCATCTTTTACGCCAACCATATTTTTCTATGTTTACTCTAAACCTTCTTTCCTAATTGAAAAGTGGGATCATGTAGTCGGCTCTTGCCAAACCGTCATTACCCACCGAACTATGCCCGAAGACCTGCCGCCGATTTTGCCGCTCAGTTTTTAGCGAAAAGTTCTAGTTTAACACTAGTTCAAAAGCCTCCGTTGAAGTGGTTCTTAGAATTAACGTTATGCTCAGCGCAGCGAGCATTTGAACCCTCTTCATTGGCTTCCGGTCGGAAGATTTCCGTCCGCCTGTCCACCATACTACTGCACCGCAGATCAGGATTACAATTGCTGTGTAGAACCAGCGCATAAGAGAAGCAGAAACCCCCAAGTTTTGTATGCATATAAGGCATTGACCAAGGCCAAGACATCGCCAAAGCATTTGTTGCGGTCTTTGAGAGGGAGTTGTGTCTTATTTATCGAAGGGAGCCTGCATGGAGAGATTTGTGTTTTCTTGTGTACGGAATCAACCCCAACCCGCTAAGGAAGTTGAGAGTGGTGGTCATATAACTGCTAATAGTGTGAAAATATCTGTCCCGTTAAATTGGCAATGTCGTCTGCATATTCCTCTATCTAAGGGGCTTTGCCGTCTAAGTTCCTTGATAGTTTATTCACCACTAATGGCTATAAGAGCGGAGTGCCTCCAAAGACTTCCTTGGTTATTCTAGCGTCGTTCCATCGTGCTCTTATTCTTCTAGAGATCAAGAAGCTGTCGATCTAATGTTGTTAAGCAGAATTAACTCCTATTGACTAAAAACTATTCACAATAGATACTGTAGAAACGTATGTACAACTAAAGCTGAACCAACAACCAACGGTTTAAATCCCATAGAAAACTTTTTGCTAGTTCCTGTTAGCCACATTTTTTGGTATAACGAATAAAAAAAATTGTATGAAGTTCTTTATGTTAGTTTTGATTGTTCAGTTTGTATGACAGTTATATGATCTAGTGACTCAATTTTCATGAAGATATCTCTTCTCTTATACAAGCTAAGGTAGCATCAGCTGTTGGCGTTTTTGAAATGTTGCAGTGAACGACTCTGAGTAACTGGAGCTAAAAATTGTATCAAGCACTGAGGCTGAGTAAAATCACAAATATTGGAACAATGACAGAATCTTATTAGAACAATCACATATATGGTTCAGCCAAATGAAATTTGACTTTTTAAATTTTAATACGATTCCTTCTGGTAGAGGCAAAGGAGAAAAGTTTTCTCTATTTTCTCTATCGAGTTATGGTAGAAAAATTTAATTTTATTCTTCATTAAATAAAGTTGCATGAAAATCGAAGAATCGGAAGTTTTTTTGCGCGGTAGTGATCTCGATCTTAGATTTTCACGGCACCAGTGCTGCTTCCATATAAACATTCATATGTATGTTCGTATTTAATTTTATTGTTTTTCCTGGCCGATGTAAGACGTGCTATAACTTTGAATTTTTCAAGAAAATTTTTAAAATACTTTTTTAAATAATTTTCCTGAGCACTAGTTTTAAATCATTTCATTTTCTTCTTGCTCAAAATTCTTCTTCCATCAACGAAATTTCATTAAATTTTATATGCCGTATAAGTGACTGTATGTGAATAACTTTCTCACTTGAGTATGTTCCTTTTTTGTTTGAAATTCGTGCGAAGTCCACTATCATCGCTCAGCTTTAAGTGCTGCTTCTCTTGTAGAAAGTAATTAAATTTATTTTTATTTCTATCACTTTAAGCGGCGAACACATTCCTAATTTCTAACCCTTGCTGAATGAAAGCGCCAATAAAATCAAATTTTTATATTTTCTATTCTGCTGTTCTCTCTCTCTTTGCAGATACCTCGCGTGCTGGCGACAAATACGAGACAACCTCAACGGTTAGTGGTTACACGAAATACATGAAATTAAAAATACGCTCTGTGGGTCCCAACGATTTCGGTACTTATCGATGCGTCGCTAAAAATTCATTGGGCGAAACGGATGGCAACATTAAACTTGATGGTAGGTGGAATCTCTACGAGCCGCGTACAAACGCATTTGCAATACCAACTATTCCGCTAAGCGAACTCACACACACCTATACAGATACACATATACAGAGAAACACACATACATATACATGAATGCTTGCAATTAGAATTCATAGCTTAGCTGGCGCTATAAACGGGCGGTGGGCGCTTGAAATGAGCGGTGCTTTGAAATGGAAAGTAAAACAGCGATGTGGATTGCAAAAGACAAAGCAAGAATAACCAGCAAAGTGAAATGATACCAAAATAAATGTTGCGTAAAACTGCAATGGTGGTAGTGTTGATTTCAAATTAACAAAAAAAAAAGTGGCGTAACGCGCATAAAACTCATTGAAATTTACGAAATGCTGTGGAATTTTCATTGAAGCGCGTATTGCGAAAAAAAAACAGGCAAAGCAAATATTTGAAGCCCTTCATTATTGCACACGTTTGGCTTGAAGTTAACTTGTTATTTTAAAGCGCTTTACATTTCTATTGATTGGGCAAAAGGAAACTGAAATTAAACGCTTTTTTTTATTTCAATACATTTTAAATTATAAGCCTGAAACTCCATGTTTTCATTTAAATTTTTGTCTTTTACAGAAATGCCCACACCCACAACTGCAATTATATCAGAGAATTCTGCCTGGAATCGGAGTTTTGGTAAGTCGCTTCAACGCAAAGTATATGCATTCTCACTTTTGGGGTTTCGCAAAAAAAAAAAATTATATTAATAATCGGAATTACACATTCATTTTTTATTCATCCATTATCTTTTCGCTGTTTTACATAAATAACACCATAAGGTTAGACGAATCGAACAACAAGTATATTCGCATTTGACATAGTCTCAAAGAACAGTTAGAATAACAATTAGTTACAAGTTATAATGAATCGAAGAGCATTACACCATTTTCTTGAAATTGAAATATACTATTTTTGATTCTGGCAGACAGAGTTCTGAAATTGAAAAGTTAGAAGAAGAAGAATTATCAAAAGTAAAGGCGATTTCTTTAATGTGATAAATTGACAAAGAACTTTGAAATTGAATTATATTTATATTAATTATATATATATATTAAAAAGTTATAAGTTATTAGTTTAAATTTTAAAATTATTACCAAACACAATTTTTTTTTTCATTATGTCGACTATTTTGCTATTCCAAGAAACAAAACTAAGGTAAGTTAGCTTAGATTAAGTGAAGACATTACTAGCTAGCGATAACAGTTATAGTGACAATTAGGATTACATATTATGTGTACAAAGTACCGTTTTCTTCACCTAAAAATGTGTTTATATAGGAAATCTACAATTTTTAAGACGGCTCATAATTTATCGGTGTATTTTTATGAGTCGTTTTTCATAGAGAAATACATTACGTAGAGAAAGACATTAAGCTATGAGTTTAATAATCGATATGACAGTATAGGTTTGTGTGAGGAGCGGTGCTTTGCTTAACTCAGAGGTACCTTTGATTTCAATTTGTATAGATATGTTAACCGTTCTCATTTAGCTCCGATCCATGTAGACCAAGATGAACTATTGTATTAATATACAACATTTTTATCACCCATACACCGCGCTTTTTATCGTAGTCCAAGTTCGGAACTGATTGATTTTTCGAATCGTTTGAGTGAGGATAGAGGCTTGGCTTATCTGAAAATGTTTGGTTATATTATAATCTCTTGAAGAAAGTCTTCCAAATTATGTCGAGTCAATGGTACTACGTTATTTTTGAACCATCCAAGACGGTCGCAAAGCCAAAAATTATGTCCGTGGTGTTAAATTTACAGTGCACGTTTCCGTTGCAACGTGTGGAAAATTGCTTAAATAACTAAAAAATACAGCAAAGCAGTAAAAACTTGTGTTAAATTTAAATAAACTAAACCAAGACTGAGTATTCATCTATTGCGCTCAAGTCGTATTAAATTTAAAATCCAACTTAGCAAGTTTTGCCACATTTTCTGGCTTTTTTGTTGTTCTTGTATCAGCACGCAATGTAGCACAATAAGCTACATAGAAGTATAATAACGCGGCAGTGTCTGTTAAAGTCTCCAGTTGCCACTTGCGTGCCACTTGTACTCTGCAATGAGTATAATCCTTTTTTAGTTTAATTCGCCACTTCATTTGTGACTTGCAGTTCAAAGGAGCGCAAGACTCAACGTCTGCTAATAGCACAAAAAAGTGGTAAATCCATATTAACGTCCGCGCCAGCTAGCAGTCTGTCTGCTGTTTGTGTGTATCCGCTCTGCAACAGTGAGAGTATCATATTTTATAAAGCTTCCAGAAGCGCTCAACGTCTTTGTCTTATTTTCATGGCGTTTATAGTGATTTCCTTGAATGCTTCGTGAACTCGCTTCTTGCTGAATATGCTGCGGTATAATGAAGATAAACATCGCTCAGCAATATGTATACAAATTTTAATTTCGCGCTAATAATATAATTATAATGATCATCTAAGGGCTAAACAACGCCGTGTTCGGAGAATTGCGAAAATGGCTTTGAAACTGCAGGAGTATGCAGTAGTGTGTACAGAAGCAGCAAATATCCTTCTGAGAATCGTTCTTGTCCTTAGCAAACAATCGAGCCTTAGATTAGAGAAGCAGCAGCAGCTGTCCATAAGCAAATCGTTTCAGCTTTTAACATGTAAATTAATTAAAATTTGTTAATTTTTTATAGCATTAAATTTTAACTGAATAAAGCCATAGTTGCATATTATTTAATTGAGTAACAACTTTTGAGAAGTCAAAAAAACTAAATATTATTATTATCAATGAGAATTCGCACAGTTTTAGTTGAAGCCTCCCCTGTCATTTGTTTATAGATTATGGTTTGATAACTTTTTAGTTGCAGCACGCAGGAAGAAAGCTAATATTTTAGCTAACCAAGAGACAACTTGGATGGGCTATGGGCAAAAAGGTCTCCGATTTTTCTCTCATGGTCTTTCATTGGTAATGAACAAACTGTCACTTTCACCAAGCTGTTACACTGTTATGATTAAAACACGCTCGCTAATTTTCACTAAGATTTCTCATCTATTGGTTGATATATGCGGTATAACGTCAGCCGGAATTTCGAAAATCTTTATATTTGGTATATGGGGGCTACGGGAATTATTGACCCGATTCAACCCATTTTTGACACACATACATACCGTTAGCAGAAAAGGATCCTCTCTGAGTTTAAATTATATATCTCATACAGATATTTTCGGTAAAAAGTCAACTATATGTACTGGCGTCCAAATATTCGATACCTAGAGGCTTGAACTCATTTATTTTGGGCGAATTTTTGATCATAAGCTGATATACTTTGAAAGCATTTTGTGTGCAAATTTTTATCCGTTACATTCATTGGTGCTTGATTTGCATAGTGGAAAGTGAGAGAATCGGATGGTATTTAAAATTGTGTTACATGGGAAGTATATATATATATACCGAATTTGGATAAAATCAGTCCGGCAGGTGCCGCGTTATGAGTTTTCCCCCAAAGGTGGTCGGTACCATGCCCCTTGACCAATTTTGGTTTTGGCTCCTATCAAGTTATCGCACTTGTAGTAGTTTTCATAAAAAAATGTATACCGGTAGAGGGCGCTGTTATCACCCAATGTCACCCATTTTCACACTGTTGATAGGGGTGCTAAAAATATTTGTCCTGAGAGAATTAAGTTATCATAGGTTAAGCGGTTTAGGACATATGCGTATTAAACCTATTAGAGGGCGGGACCACGCACAATTTTGAAAAATATTTACACTGCAGATGCCACTTCTTAATATGATTGGTTACACCAAAGTACAACAGTCTTGTATCTTATTATGGAGCTTAGTTATCGCAATTTATTGGCTTTCAATTATTGGCCTCTTGTAGGCGTGCCAGCGGTTTATGCCCATTTGCAATGCCAACCGCCTTACGGCACCCAGAAACATGTGTACCAAGTTTTATCAAGATATGTTTTATTTTACTTAATTTAAAATCTGTTAATATTGAAAGTACCATTTCTAATTAAATACTTTAAAATGTTAAACTCACAATACAGACCTTTCAAATAATAAAATAACGCTCAGTGACATAAGAACATTCAGCTCGGACTTAAATGGCAAGCAGTCAGCTTAAGGCTCATAACACTTCAAATTCGCTGTTTTATTGATACGAAAGTAATTTAGTCAATTTCCACTATTTATAGCATCAATTATGATTAAATATTGCATTATTTTTCATGTTCACTTGAACATGTTTTCCTAGCAATTGCACGAAGCCGGAAAAAATAAAAAGTGTAAAACCGACAATAAGTACTGAAAAGGTGGTCAAAATATGAATAATATCGTATAGAACGTAAATATTATTTATATAAAGATTTCATAATTATTTTTCTTTTTCCGCAACGCTTACAAATTTCGTACTACCTTAAAACATGTTTATATATAGCATATATATGTATATTGCATTTATTTGACTTTCCTTTTTCGCTTTTTTCTTTACATGTAATTCAACGTCTCGCCTGCCGTGTGCTGTCTACACTTACTTCCTCACACTCTCTCTCACACTTCACCATTTTGCCTGTGTATATGTGCAATGTCCACTTATCGGCAACAACCACTACACCACTGCCGCTTGCCTCTCCTGCCGTCTGCCGCATTGCTTGTGCCTTGTGATTTCTCGTCTGCCACACGGACCAAAATAAATTCGCATAAACCAAACAAAAAACGGCAAAAACGATTAAATAAACATTTATAAAAATTTCAACGTCTACCTTTTCGCGTTCCTTTTTCAACTCACTTCATCTGCCGCTTTTTCGCGAAAATTAAAAATTCACTGAAAATTATGACTATGAAAAAAAAAAAAAAATAACAAAATAAACGAAACGAAAACAAGTTGGTAAACACCGCCATAGAAATAAATTTGACTTGAATGCCTTACCTGATTACGGGGTTGAGGAGTGGCGCGACGGTGTCGGTAAGTACCTGCTAACATTTCCACTACATTGCATAAGAAATGAAATCAAATAAAAATAAATTCAAATGAAACGAAATATAAAGATTTTTACCATTACTTTCAACAACATCAACGCCGTTGCGCCTAACTGGCGTCAAGTCCATCTTGGGCAGTCTGCTTTGCAGTCTCAACTTAGTCTTTGCATACTTTTAGGTTGTTTAATTTCTTTTCGCATTTTTGTTTTTTTACTTTCCGTTAGCTGCCTTTTGTCTGTCGGCTTTTATGCAGTTCCATGTTAAATACTTATGCCCTGCTATGAATAGCGCGGTAAAAAAGATATCTCGACCGCAGAAATCTTCGCCGCTGGGTCGACCAACCCTGAACGCTTCACATTTCCTTTTAATGATCATCATTAATGTAATAAGAATAATCAGTTTTGTTAAGCGCTTTTGAAATACTTTAGCGGAATATTAAATTTGCCGTGATTTGAAGTTAACGGTAAAAACGAACTGCGAAAAGAAAAATACCTCATAGTCGTAGTAAGGTTGAAACTTGCATTAAAATACTTTTGTGTCAAAAAATTTAAATTAACTGGGCGTGGCCTACCACTTAAAACTTTAATATATATTATATATTATGTGTAGTCAAAAGAAATCCCCTATTTTTGCATGAAATTGAATGCTCCAATTATTACGTTTCGTATCCAGCCTAATTCAAATGGTTCCAAACGGCTTTTTGTGCAATGTCTAGGTACTGGACAATCGTAATCGATATTTGGGCTCGGCGATTTCCATTATTTCGCCGATTTTTTCGATAATTGATCTTCTAGAGCTTGGTGTCTTTTTCACAGCGAAATTACCGGAACGGAATCGATGAAATTGCGCATGATTGGCTGTTACAGTATCAGGACCATAAACGCTATTCACACTTTCAGCCGCCTGGCTTGCATTTTCGCCGTCATCGAAGAAAAAAATATATATATAGCTATTTTCACTTTGCTAGTGTCCATTTTTGACGCGCGTTCAAACAAAACTAAATCAACCAATTACAAAACTGTCAGAACTTTTTTTTTGTACAAAATGTCATCTTTCTAACGCCATCCAGCCGAACCTGATCGAACTAATACGCGCGATACAGATAAATAACGCCATCTATTAGAAAAAAAATTATAATATCTTTTCACTACAAGTACACCTAATATATCTTTAAAGTACGAAAGCTATATCTTCTGGCCGTAGTGGGAATATTTCCTCTAGTATTTCATTAGACGTTGTAAAAATGGGGGGAATTGGACTACAGCCACGCCTATTTCCTATATAAAAAATAATTGCAATGTATTTATATAAACCAAGTATCAACGAAGATTTAGAAATATAATTTTACACAAATAGTGTTTTTAAAGAGTGTCACCTCTCCTCTGAAAATGGTCGAAATCGAAGGTAAACATTTCAAGCCATCAGTTACCGAATATCTCTGTGCATATGGCCGTCGTGATATCAAAAATAGCAATGAACAGTGAGATACCTAATGCAATTAGAGGGCTGCGTTTCTGCTCACGATAGATAAGATTATTTCAGCTAGGTACTGCCAAAATCCTAGTCAGGAGCTTAGGTTATGTCAAAACGTCGATTTTAACAGGGATCTCACTTGGACAACTTTGTACACTGGTCCGTTGTGTACCTAAAAAATAACTCTGACAACTTGCGTCTTTCAAAAGCATTAATGCATGAAAGCCTATTGGACAATGTCCAGAAAGAATTCCAACAATTGCGGCAGGATGAACTTTACCAAGGGCAAATAGTTCAGTATATCACCTGCGTTCTACTCTAGGACAAAAAGATCTCACAGTTGCCAGGTCCATAACAACGATCCAGTGATAGAATGCAATATGACAGCGGAAAACCTATCCTGTGAGCTGAACAACAGTCTTATTGGCTTGCAGTTTCCAGGCATTCCGCTATGACCAGGCACCCAAACTAGTCTGATAATGAAGCAGCTTGAGGCTAGTTCTAGTGACAATAGACGATACTTTGAGCGCAGAGTTTGCGAGCTCAACGCTAGTATTGCCGCTTTGCTGTCGGAATGAATGATCACCTTTCTGATATAGGCTGCATATCAGAGTGGTACGTCTACTGTTAGCAGCCACTCTAGCCACCGCGTACTATTAATCGTTTTCCCGAAACGTCTACAGTTGACGACAGAAAGAAAAGTGGTCGTCCTGACGTGTGTGAAACCCATTCAGCCATATAAATTGTTCCGGTACACATTCGCAGAAATCCCCTTAGTAAACAGAAAATTATGTTTAAAGAAATGGTTATACCGACCAGATCATTGACAAGACTTATGTTATTCGAGATGATGTGCTCATGAAAGCTTACCGTCAGTCAACTGTTCATATTCTGACAACGCGTTTGAAGCAAGTAGGGCTCAACAGATGCAGGCGACTTTTTCAGTGGCACGCGGTCAATAGTCATGAAAGTTTCCTTCCTCCTGAAATGATAAAATGTTTACTGTGGAAGAAGTTTAAAAAAAAAACGACAAAAACTACTCAAAAACTGGCAAAGACACAAAAAATGTTATTCCAATGGTACAATGAGGTCACCATCCAGCTGTAATTGTCTTCTAAGAAGAGCATTTGATTTTCCAGCGAGATTCTGTTGCAGCACACAAGACAAAAAATACCCAGCAGTGGCTTGAAAGCAATATTCTTGGTTTGTATCCGTGGAAATTGTGCGTGCTGCCATTGCGCAATGGCCGAATCGTTTGGCGACTTGTGTGAAAGCAAGCATTGACCATTTGGAATACAATTTTGTACAACGCTTGTTTAATACAAACATTATTCATAAAATAACTTTAATAAAAAAATATTTATAGTTTTTATTTTTTTATTATGGCCTAAACTTTTAACGGTACTTAAGGCAGGACTATGTAATTGCTTTCATTGCTCGAGTTGTCTTTAATACAAGTACCATATACTTGTAGGTACATATATCGGTTAGCATGTCAGATGTCCTACCAAAAATAAGTAAACCCATTTTCACAGACACACTATATTAATAGTATATATGATTGTGATTTCTGACACCTTTTGTGAAGATATAAAATGTTCAGCTGCACCCGAATTTAATCCTTCCCATACTTGCTTTGATTTAATTTATATTTGGTTCTAAATTAAGTTAGCGTTTTTTTCCATTCGAATGCAGTTTCTTCGAACAAATTTTTTGTTATTGTTGTTGTGTGCGTTTTTTTCTAATTTGGGTAAGGCATTATGCAACTGTACGTGCATTAATTAATTTGAAAAATGATGTTGCTTACTTTTTTTGCTGCTTTATTTCAAAAAATATTTTAATTATTTTGGTTTGTGCAGTTCTAGCGCCTGCCATTATGCAACAAAATGTTGTTGTTTCGCTTGGTTTGGTGAAATTTCATTTCAAAACGAAATTGCATAAAAATATAAAGTGTGCAAAAACAATAACAAAACTGACACAGATTAATTGAACCTTAATGCTTCGCATCAGTGGTCGTGGCGCCGTTGTTGCACACACACGCACACATAAGTATATATAATTGCGTTCGTTATTACTATTTGTTATGTTTTTGCTCACTTTGCCACTTTTTTGTATATTTTTGTTTGCAATTTTTATTTTTTGTTTTGTTTTTGTTTTTTTTTTTGGTGTTTTGTGGGGCCAATGAAAAATGATTCACTTTAAAATGCAAATCATGAGCACCAAAACTTTTTGCGCAACTCAAGCGTACGAACAGCAGTGGGGGTAAGGGTGACAGGAGCGTTAGGTGGCGTTGTGTGCGTGGAGTAACGGAAGTTTTTGAGCAAAGCTTGTCATTATCTGCATAATAAATTGTGCGACGCTTGCGGCATAAATATATAAATATATCTGTATGTTTATTTAAAATTTATTGAGATTAAGTTGTTATTATTTTGAAATCAATTCGAATGGCTTTTTGTGTTGACTTTGAAAAGTGAATTAGTATAAGTTAAGCGTTTGGTTTCACTAGCTTTTGTTTGACAGTCACAGAAGCTCTATGAGCTTAACATGCTCATATATACATAAATATTTGTATAGGAAGCGTTTTGCTTAGAAGCCAATACTAATTGGTTGAATAGAGCTAATGACGTGGTTTCGCTAATTTCGAATAAATTTTAAAACATATGCTTATTATTCTCATTATAATTTTTCGAAAATCAAACCTTTTAAAGCGTGTCACCTACAATTACTTTTGCAAGCTGTTCTAATCGACTCACATGAGATGCCAGTAAGTTGTGGCCTGTCATTAGGCCAACAACCGTCCTACAGTCTTTTTGAAACATGATGAGTAAAATGCATGCGTGTTTTTCTGCGGGTACATCCATTTTACCCTGAACCGTCTTTATAGTTTAGACCTGGTACCAAGTGACTACTACCTCCTGTCTATAACGAATAATTTTACTGGTGAAAAATTTGCCTCAAGAAAAGTTTGTGAAAATCGAGTGTCCCAGGTTTATGGGAGTAGGAACAAGGGGTTTCTAAGAACTTGACTTTACGAAATTACCTTCAAAACTGCAAAAAGTTATCAATCAGAGTGGCAAAAGTGCTTCGACAATTGGTTCAAACGCCTGCAAAAGTGTCTAGAATTTAGTTGAGAATATTTTGAAAAACAATAAAGCTATTTTCGATCTTCAACATTTGTTGTTGTTCTCTAAACCCGAAACACATATATAAGGTGATCCTCGAACATTCTGATTTCAAGCAGCAGCGGTTTCGAACATGTCGATATCACATCACTAAACTTCTCTTGCGTTATACTTGAATAGACCGACTTTATGAAAACTAAACCGAAAGACGTAAACAAATCACAGGAGAATTGACTTTAGATGTGAATCCTTTGGAAAAATCTTTCGTCCTGATTAACTTTGGATACCTGCATACAGAGTAGCTTTACTTTCTTGGATTTCACAGGAAAAATGTTTATATAAACCCAACTGTCATAATGGACAGACACACTTGCTAAGTACAAAGCTAAAA